GCCTAGGTATGCCGAACCTGCACAATATTGAATTGAACAAGAATTCTTCTATTTTCCTTTCTGTTGTCGTGGATAATGGTTTAGCTTCTATCCACTTAGTGAAGTAATCCACTGCAACGACCAGGAAAGTGCAGCCTCCTTTGCCTTTGATGAAAGGGCCGAGCAGGTCGACTCCCCATTGGGCAAAAGGCCAGGGAGATGAGAGTGATGAGAGCATTTCCCCTGGCATGTGAATATCATCAGCGTTGAACTGGCAGGTCGGGCACTTTTTGACATAGTTCTGTGCATCCTCAACCATAGTTGGCCAGTAATACCCATGCCTCAGGAGCTTCCGAGCTAAGGTTTTGCCTCCGATGTGCGTGCCGCACACTCCTTCATGAATTTCTCTCACAGCGTACTCAGCTTCATAAGGAGAGAGACAGCGCAATAGGGGCATAGAGGCTGCTCGTTTGTAGAGCTGGTCATCTAACAAAGTGAAATGTGCTGCCCTTCGTTTAACCAATCTTGCAGCAGACAGATCTTCAGGTAGCTCGCCACTTTGCAGATAATTTATAAGTGGGGTGGTCCAGCTCGGCGTGGAGGGATCTGTGCTTAGTAGCTGACACTCGACCGTGAAATCAGTGTAGCTCGGGGCGTCCAGCACTTCGACGATGGTTGACCTCTGAGGGCTAAAGTCCTGCGAGGAGGCCAACTTTGATAGCTCGTCAGCTCGGCGATTGTCAGCTCTTGGTATTTTCTCGATCTGAAATGAAGCAAATTTTGACTTCAATCTGTTGACCACAGAGGTGTATCGGCCAAGCTGGGGATCCCTAACTTCGCAGCTGCCATTTACCTGGCCCACCACGAGCTGAGAATCACTAAAAACTTGTATGCTTTGTACCTTCAGCTCGGACGCCAGTTTCAAACCATAGATGAGGGCTTCATACTCAGCAGCGTTATTAGTCATCTGAAACTTAAACCTTAGTGCATGCTCAGACCTAAAGCCATCTGGGCCCACTAACACAGCTCCAGCACCTAATCCCTCCATGTTAGCCGCTCCATCAACATATAAAACCCAGACAGGGTGTTTAGGCAGTTTTGCTTCCTTTGTCGCTGAGATGCATTCCACCAGAAAGTCCGCGATGGCCTGGCCTTTTATGGTTGTGCGCGGCTGGAATTTGAGGTCATATTCACTCAGCTCGATGCTCCATCCAACAAGCCGACCTGAGAGTTCAGGTTTCTGCAGTATTTTTCTCAACGGCAAATCGGTATAGACAACAATCTGGTGTGACTAGAAATAAGCCCTCAACTTACGAGCTGTGTACACCAGGGCGAATGCCGCCTTTTCTGCTAATGGATAGTTCTGCTCTGCACCTTGTAAAACCTTGCTCACGTAGCAGATGGGCTTTTGATTCTTATTCTCCTCCCTGAGTAAAACGGAGCTCACTGCCTCTCTTGCAACCCCGATATATAGGTATAGACTCTCCCCTTCCACAGGCTTAGACAGCAGGGGTGCAGATGCTAGAAACTGCTTAAGCTCGTCAAACGCCTGCTGACACTCGTCAATCCATTGAAAGTGTTTGGGCTCTCGCAGGGTTTTGAAAAACGGCAGGCATCTTTCGGCCGACCTGGCTATGAATCTGTGCAACGCAGCTACCCTACCTGTCAGGCGTTGCACATCCTTTACAGTCTTGGGAGGCTCCATCTGTTGAACGGCCAGAACCTTCTCTGGATTCACTTCAATTCCTTTCTTGGATACCACGTATCCTAGGAATTTTCCTGATTCTACAGCGAACGTGCACTTCAGAGGGTTCAGCTTCATTTGGGCTCGGCGCAAATTCTGAAAGGTCTCGCTCAGATCGTCTATATGGTCCTCAGCTCGCACGCTGGTGACTATCATGTCATCCACATACACTTCTATGTTTCTGCCAATCTGGAGCTTGAAGACGATCTGTACCAGCTTCTGGTATGTAGCGCCCGCATTTTTCAAGCCGAATGGCATCATCACATAGCAATAGATAGTGTCCCCCGCGTAGAAAGCTGTTTTCTCCTGGTCGTCCAACAGCAACTGAACCTGGTGATAGCCCGAGCTGGCGTCAAGAAAACTCATCCGTTCATGCCCAGCCGCCCGCTCAACTAACTTCTCGACATTTGGCAAGGGATGAGGGTCTTTTGGACACGCATCATTGAGGTTGGTGAAGTCAATACACATCCTCCACTTGCCGTTTGGCTTTTTGACGAGTACAGGGTTGGACACCCATTCAGAGTACTCCACTCTCCTGATGAAGCCTGCTTGTAACAGCTTTTGTATCTCTTCATCTATGGCAGCTTGCTTCTCAGGGCCAAAAAGGCGACGTTTCTGCACCACCGGCCTTCGGGTGGGGTCCGTGCTGAGCTTGTGGACCGTCAGCTCTGCTGGGACACCAGGCATTTCATCAGTAGTCCACACGAACACATCTTGATTGACCCTCAAAAACTCCAGGAGCTCTCCTCGTTCTTCCTTTGTGAGCTTGGTGCCGATCTTGACTGTTCTTTCCGGCACATCAGGGTTTAGAGGAACAGTTTCTACTGGCTCTACTGGCTCTGCTTTCTGTTCGACGCCCTCAGGTCTATGCTCAATGTCCGATATGCTCATTGTCTGCTGGTCGGGCTGAGTCGGCCTACTACTTTCGGAGCTTCCAAGGGCTACAGCGAGCTCAACCTTCTTAAACGTGTCCTGATAACATGCCCTGGCCATTCTCTGATTCCCCTTTAGCACCCCTACCCCCTGAGGCGTTGGGAATTTCATGCATAGATGGGGCTGTGAAATGACAGCCTTCAGCTCGCATAGAGTAGCCCTTCCTAATATGGCGTTGAATGCTGACTCCATTTTGACGACCAAAAAGCTGACTGAAGCCATCCTGAAGCGCGGCTCTGAGCCCACATAGATGGGTAGAGTTATAACCCCTTCCACCGGGACGGGTTGATTATCAAACCCATAGATGGGTCCTTCATATTTTTGCAGCGAGCTCGGGTTCAATTGCATTTTCTGGAAGCAGCTCCAGTAAAGAATATCGGGCGAGCTACCCGTGTCAATAAAGACCTTGTTGACATTATGATTACCTATATGGACTGCTGCTACAAATGGATCTGCGTGAGGCATCATAACGTCGGGTTCCCCATCTGCTCGTCTATAATCTGCTGGGCTGAATGTGATAGCTGCATTCTCCCACTCTGCCTCCTCGAACGACCGCTTCAAGGGCCTGTTTTTGTTGACCGTCATCACCTGGCGGGCATATGCCTTGCGGGCTCGGGCACTCTGGCCCCCAGAGTGAATACCACCAAAGATCAGGTTGATTGTGCCAGATGGCGGGGGTATTCCACCGTACCCGACTCCTCTATGGTCTTTTTGGTTCTGCGCAGGTGCTTTCTGTCCTTGCCCACGCCTATTAAACGGGCGTCCCCTGTATGCCCTGTTCGGCTCAAATGAGTACAGAGCTGTCTGGTAAGAATTTGGGTTGCTACCGAGCTGATACCCAGGTGCTTGAGGTCGTCCGTACTCTTGTACAAAATGGGTCTGGGGGGGTTGTCGAGCAAAAGGCTTCTACACATACCCCTCCAATTTTCCATTGCGAGCCAAGAATTCGAGCTCGTCCTTTAGACTTTGACAGTCTTCTGTGTTATGGCCGTAGACACGGTGATAGTCGCAGTATTTGCTTCTGTCA